TTAATATCTTCAGCAAATTTTGTATAGTTGATTGCTTAGTAGTTATTAGAAAGATATAAATGTAAGTAAGCAAGATTAAGACAAAATTGTAGATGATTTTCAGTTTTAATTGGTGAAATAGTTGCAGAGAAGGCAAATATTTCAGGATAGTTAAGTTTTGTAAAGAAAACTGTTGTAAATGTATGAATAAGTTTTTTAAGGCTTTTTTCTAAAATATTGAAAAAAATTGTTGCAGCTTTATCTGTTTCTAAGTTGTATTTTTGAATTAGGTCAATAAGAAATTTTGGTTTAGTACTAGCCATTTGTCTAATCAACAAATAGAAACTAGCTTTAAGTACATATTTAGTTTTTGTGGCCTTTTTAAGAATTTTGTTAGAATAAAAATTATATAGATGTTCTTTAAGAAAATTAAAAAGTTGATGTGATATCTCAGTTTCTAATTTTGTATAATTTTGCATTTCATCAGTAACTAGAAAGTTTGCTAACCAGTCAAATGATGAGTTAAGTTTGGAACTTGCTGCTTGACTGTAAGATTGTTGTTATTCATTGTTACTTGTTTCATCTGCAGTATGAGTAAGAGATGTAAGTTTGGAAATAAGAGAATTTTTGATAATAGATTGTTTTTGATATGAGTTTTGTTGTTTTTGGTTAATTTTGTTGTTTTTGTTTTGTTTTAATAATCCTAAAAATTTTTTGAAAATTAAAATTTTTTTTTCTTTAGATAGTGTAATAAGATTGATTACAAAAACAGTTTGGATTTGTATAGGAGTGAGTGCTTTAGTTTGAGTTTATGAATACATTTAGGATGTGCTAGAAATCCTTTAATGATAAGAATAGATTTGTCAAGAAGTAAGTGTGTATTATTTTCTAGAAAAGTACATAAGATGTTTTTATTTTGATAAATAATACAAGTATATGCATGATAAGAATGTACTTGGATTTGAAGAGTTTGTATTGGATTAGATGAAGTTCTTTGTTGAGTTGTAGAATAATTTAAAGAGAATGATAATGGGGGAATGGTAGTTGTTTTTGCAATTGGTGATTGAGAGATAGTTTCTTTGAGTTGTCTAACTTGTTTAGGTATAATATCAATATCCATATATGTGAATTTTTGAGAAAAAGGAGGAGGAGTTGCTTGTCTAGATAGAATGTTAAGATTATTAGAAGTAAAGAGAGTATGGAATTTTTGGCAATAACAGCAGATAATGGTAGGCTGAATAGGAGTTTTAAAGTAATAAAGAGATTTAGCAATGTTGCATTCAAATAGATTAAATACAAATGGCATCACTTTAAGTTGTGTAGGTTGTACTTCTCAGATCATTGTACTATAATGATCATTGTACTTGTTATGAAAATAGTCAAGATCAAAATGATCTGGCTCTTGAGTGGTCAAAGTAGGCATTCTGTTTGATAGAGAAAAAAAAATACTACAAGTATACTTAAAGATGGAAGTTAATATTACTTAGTAAAATTTTTTGTTATTAATTATTAAAGTTTTTAATATATAAAATTTATAGTAATAAGGGTTAATTTGACAAGAATATGATGTAATACTGCAGCTATTGTGACTACTGCGGCTTTATGTAACCTTGAGAATAATTTTGTATAACCTATGTAGTACAAAGTGTGGCTGATGTGGCAAGTGTGACTTAATGTAATAATTTAGTTATATGTTCCAAAAAAGTCTTGTAATAGTGTACAAAGTCAAATTAGTAAAAGAAGAAAAACCAATAAGAAATTATATGCTATTTTAAGTAATATTAATTAGTTTATAATGAAAACGATTGTAGTAATAATTTAATGTTACACAAAAATTATGTAAGAGAAAAAAAGTTGGGATAAATAAAAAAGAATTTTTAAGGAGTTTACAAGAGAGTTAAAGCTATTTTTTAGACTATCTCTGTTAATATTAGGTCTATTAGGTTTATTTAGACCTTGTGTTAATCAGAGAAATGAGCTCTACAACTTTTCTTAGGACTATAGAGTGGGTTCTAAAGCTAGTTGTCAAGAAATAATTAAAGAAAGTGTTTAAAAGCCCAAAGGCCATTATTGCAGTATTAACCTGCGAGTTTGAGAGCTATTTCTTTAAAATATTTAGAATATATATAAAATTAGTAGCTGAACAAGTTAACTTAAGACGTCAAAGTTAGTTATATTAATAAAATAACCAGATATTAATAATTTTAGTACTAATGAATTTTAGTTATTTTTGTGTAAAAATGATTTACAGAAAGAGTTTTTTAATAGTAATATTAATAAGAAATTATAAAATTAAAATATATAAGAAAATTTTGATAAGAGTGTAATGACCTAGTGAAATAGTCAGGTTGTTAATCCCCAAGTAGCAGATTCAGAGTTCAAATTTCAGTATTGACAGAAAATTTGAAAATTATTTTTGTATTATGATTAACTGTCTCTCACAATTGGTTAGAATAAGACACCTGTTACCTATATCATACTAGTATCACTGATAGGTTATATAGCATTTGTATAACAGTCACATGACATTGTTTTTTAGGACAAGGTTTGTGGTTATACAAAGGAATGCAAATTGGTACCAGATGATGCAAACTTATAATAAGTTCTTATAGACATGTAAATCATAGAAACTAAATGAAATAAGATAGAAGCCTATTTGAAAGACCTGAATAGAGAAGTAACTTGAACTTTCAACAGTGCTACTATAAAGACTAGACTTATAAAATAGAGCTAAAACTTGTGAAACTAGGCAAAAAGCCAGCCTTTGAGAAAAGGCTGAATGGAACTAACCAGGCTGCCAGGATCTGTTTTAAAGAAAAAAATTAAATGCTAGCAAACATGTAAACCAAAGATGTATAGTTATGATCTACCTTTCTGAGCTATTTTGTTTGAGAGCTTGGTAAAACTTAAATTGAATACTAAAGTAGTAGGGATATGTTGTAAAGTCAGTATTAGAGTTGGGATAAACTCTACAAGGATATAGCAGTTTAATGATATATTCTAACTGCCAATATTGGTCTCAGTCATAGTGATATCAGATCAGCTATAAGAATAGGATAAAGAAGATTCTGAAAAGTTTAATACAAGGTCAAAGGTTCTCTATATAAGTAAACTGTTTTAAAGACTTAGTAACTATAGCATATTTTTATTGGCATCAGCTAAAGTCATTGGTAGGCAGAGGTAAGTGAATAGATACAGAAACTAGATTAGTTAAATAGAAAACTTACAAGCAGATTCTAGGTATTACAGCTAATGTAGAACCTTTGGGCAAACTGCTTAAATTAGACAATGACTAAAGTTATATGAGTGTCTAGTTGTACACTTTTTTTATAGTTGCCTTCTGTGGTTATAAAGAATTTATTAGCCAAATATACTACCAATAAAATCCTGGGTCACAAGTATTTATCTTAATATATATATATTTTTTTTTGGTATTAAGGTGACCTCTTTGGTCTTTTGACTTTTATTAATTACTTATTGGTATTGTGGTTCAATAAACCACTACAGGAAAGCATACAATTGGCTACATATGTAACTTTTCTATATTAGTTATTTAAGGAGTCCACCTGAAGATTCTCCACCAATTGCCATACCTAACATCCCTGCTTGGGTGTTCTACTTTAAACCCTCTGAACCTGTAACCTGTGTTAACATCACTGGTCATCTTTGATGTATCAGATAATCATTCTCAACCTTAGGACTAATTTATCCTTGAGGTAAACCTCCCAGAGCCTTCTGTACATATTTTTACAGCTGACCTAGGTATCACTATGGCAGAACCAACACTTGTGATCAGGTCTAACCATTAAACCACTATGCCCTTATAGAGTTCACTTAGACCCCAGCATCTACTTCACAGCATAACTCCAGTACTTTAGTATACCTCTGCCTTCTGTTCAGCCTTTTTACCAAACTTCCAATTCAAATAGCCTGTGTAAGACTATGACCAGTCCATCAGTATATTAGGTCAGCCCGATATCCTTTTTCTCTGGTTTATTTCAGTGGCCTGGTTGGTGGTACCCTCAGGACTCCTACCCAGAGGTTCTTGCCTGTCCGACTACTACGACTGAGTACTATGACCTTGGTATCCATTTCTGCAAGCTAGCCTTTACAGTAGGGCCATTGAAGATCCAGCTACCTTTCTACTCAGGTCTTCCCAAATGAACTTTTTGTTACCCAATTTCAATAGATTTACACAGCCACAAGGACTTATCTAGTGTTTGCACCATTTGATTTGTCAGTTTGCATTCCTCTGTGTAATGCCATACTTACACAGATGTCCCATGATCTGCCAGTTATGCTGGTGCAACCGCCATTACATGTATCTTAACCTAATCATTAGTAACAGTTGCCATAATATGAATATTACATAGTTGATTATCCAAATTTTTACCATCGATAGGATTTGAACATCCAACCTACCACTTGGAAGGTTGACAACCTGACCACTTCACTAGGTCGCTACACCCTACCTTAATATTTAAAAAAAATAATAATAATAATTTTGATATATAAAAATTTATAAAAATTTGATTTGTGATTTAGATTGATATTGTTACAAATTAATAGAATAGGTTCAAAAATAATACAAATGTAATCAATTATTATTTGAGAAATAAATATGCTATATAATAATTTTCAATAGGTAGTAGAAACAATTTTATAATTTGATACAAGATCAAAATAGTAGTTAAAAAGCATTACAAAATATAAATAAAGATTTTAAAAAATATTATTGTATTTTATAAGTTTAAAAAATTTTTTTAATAATTTTATTATTTTTTTTGTTTTTTTTTCTCTTAAGCAGTCACACTAGTGCTTTATTAAGATTTTGCAATTACATAAATATCCTTAACAACCAAGCCTAGCATCACCTGGCCACTCTAATAGTACCTAAGTGCAACTTGCTGCATTACTTCAAGCAGAAGTAAGTCACTCATCTGACTACTTAAAGTCTATAATAAAAAGGTTTTCTCTCTTTCATAACAAGCTCTAAAATTGTTTTTTGTACTTCTTTTCTGATTTGTTTTTCTTTTTCTTTTGCTTTTTCTTTTCTTTCTTCTATAACTTGTCAATTTGGTTTTTTTTTTTTACTCAGTACTTTTCTTTTTTTTTCTTTTCTTTTTTTTCTTTTTATTCTACCTGCTATTCCTTTATTTTTCTCTTATTTATTAATCTTCATATATCAAATTTTTTACACTTGTTTATAAAATGTATTGTATGCCATTCTTGCAATTATATTCATAAACTGCTGCTTTGATTTTGTGCTTAGGAGCTGCCTCAATCTGTCTTGTGTTTCTCTTGGAATAAGACCTTTAATTAGTGTCTTTCTTATTTTAATTTCCTCTGCTTCTGTTTTTCTAAAAAGTGACATATATAATATATATGACAGAACTCAAACTTTTTCTTCTTCCTTTAACCTCTTTCAAGCTGTTGCAATGATCACTTTTTGGATTCTTTTTCACAGGTTTTTTTGTCCCTTACATGCTGCCAAATGTGCCTATGTTTTTTTTGTTTTATCTTAACAAACTTGGCATTCTGTTATTGTATATATCTCTGGTTTTCTTTTGTTAAGTTCTTCTAAAGTTGAAAGTTTATCTATTATGCACTTTATAAATATGCTTCTTCTGGCACTACCTCTTTTTGTTGTGCAGTGTATTCTTTTAGATATCTTCAGGCTATTTTAAAAGTATGTTCAATAATAAATCATAACTTCTGTTTCTGATTCTAGAGCTCTAATTGCTTTTATTTCTTTCTATTCTGCTTCTAGCTTTGCAATTATTATTAATTTGCATAGCAGTCTTGCTAGTATGTCAATATATTTGTTTTCTTACTCTAAGCAGTACTTCATCTCTTTACAATTGACTTTTTCAACCTATATTATCTTTTTACTTGTTGCACTTTTTTTTGCTAAATTATCAGCTTTATCATTCCATCTATCTTTACTGTAGCTTTTAACTTTAACAAACTTTATTTAAATGTTCTTTGTTCTAATCAACTTTCTAATTTTTATTACCCATATTGCATTTTTCTTTTTAAAGATCTTATTTCTGCATACTTGTTCTAAACCTCTACTAATGTTTCTTATTGCTGCATTACTATCTGTATATATTTCTGCTTGCTTTTTTCTTAATATTGTTAAAATTGCAGTCTATATTGC